TTAGAGAGTGCCAGACAATCCGGATGGGCGCGGCCAAAACAAGGCTGACGCCATTCCAGCTCGTGAGCACCTTAGCATACTACTGCAGTTTAGACCGTTCTTCAGCACACGAATGTGAGAAACTGATATCGACTGCCGAATCGAAAAATCGAAATCGATATCGAAAAATCGATTCCAATTGATCGGTAGGTTTCAATCGCGCGCATTTGCCCTAAGTGTTTGGTTGTGGTGGTAGCTACTCCTAACCGAAGTAGAGAGCCCAGAACACTGGCACCGAACCATAGAGTCCCAAAGCTCTAACCTTGCCATTCCCCCCCCCCCCCCCCTATGGCCCTGCACTCAAGATGAACGGTGACTTAGCAGTGTTTGGAATGCAGCCACATGAAAAACGGGCTGAAACCTGACGCGAGCTGGAACCTTTTCCATCACTCCCGCAAGATCTGCATCAATGGGCCCACCCATTCGAGTAAAGTCCCTTACCTTATCCCAGAAGGGAATGCTTTTGTTAACCACTTCAGAGAACGACGATAGCACACGTCCGTGATGTTTCTCTAGACAAGGACGCATTGTCTCGGCAAACATCGACACTCCGCCAGAGATGAACATTCTTCGGATCTGTTGATTCTGAAACAAAAGTTCTGAGCAGATCACTGACGACGCCATCGTTTGCAGACCTTTCCGAACGTCTTTCCACTGGCTGCGTCCAGGAATCGTAGCTCGGTCGATCTCGGGGGGCAGTGGAATCACCTTGAACGTCCGACCTTTTCGTTTTCCACGCCCTTCGATATACCTGAAACCTTGGATTGGACGAACTGTTCTTGTTCCAGCTGAAGAAGAGCCAAACCTCGGGTCTTTAGGGTTTGTTGAAATCCAGTTAATGGAGCATGACATAGTTGAACCAGTCTGAAATGGCAGTAGTAGGGGCAGGGATCATCTGACCAATCATATCAAACCAACTAACCATACAGAGTGGTAGTGTTGAAGTGAACCTTACCGTAACCATTCCTGGCTTTTATTTCATCCCTGATATCACACAATGCACGTAGACTCATTCACTTTCGGCTCTGAATGACCGGTCGCACTCAGTTCAGAAAAATGGTCAACCGGACGTCGGTGGACAGTCTAAAAGATGGATATTGATCAGTCGCGCGCGCGATTACTGGCGAGCGCATGAATGGCGCTGCGCACTTCCCGCGTACCTGCGTTTTCAGAAGCTGGAGCTGAGGGCGGAACGAACCCTTTTTTCATGTTTTACGTTCCTTTACGTCCGTTCATCTACGTCCATGAGCGTCATTTAAGCTTGTTGGACACTATCACATTGAGAGGATGCAGACGAGCAGAAAATGGGTGCGGCTTGTTCTCTATGTGAACTCCACCTCCCTCCTTCCAGCTTTGCGTCCCATCTCATCGGCAATTGTGCGAGTTGTAATGTAGCGTAGGTAGGCCTTGCACAGAATATTGATTAATCACACATGTGCAACCTGTGCCGAAACGCCGTGCCAATTAAAAGCGCATTCCGAGATAAGCGGATTATCGGAGAATCATCGCCATAGTTATGCCTTTCTTATTTGAGCGCCATCCCACCTTCTAATAGGATGAAGAGGAGAGGCAGGTCAGTGAGGAAAGAAGAAAGCACAGCGATGGTTACTCACTTCCCATTTCTTGACCACTCCGATTATCGCGTAATGTGTCTTTAAGTTCGTGTCCCTCATTCCACCTAACTAGCGTGTCCGCTTGAAAGAGATTTCATTTATAATTTCCCAATTACAATAACTATGTCCACGATTTCGCGGAGTGCACTGCTCTTGGTTTCTGCCAAGAACCCGCTGTGACCATAATATTCTTCTGCGCTTGCCTTCCTCTGATTGACCTTGGAACCGGGAAGACTTAATTGGCCTCCAAACGAGCTGAACCCGGTGTCTTCAAAGGAACAGGGGAGGCTGGGTTTGGCGCAGCGCCAACTCATACTCCCAATTGCGGAACTGACGAACGAGTACAATTGGTGGGGACAGCTCGCGCTGCGCCAGACACAGTTATCATGACACACCCAGCACCCGCAGCGACAAGACTGAAAGAGTTCTCCCTATCTTCCTTGAAGCTGCACAATCTGGCGCAAAAAAATCTTTTTTCTTAACTAGACATATGGTGCCGCACCAGACCACCGCGTCTACTCTGCTGAAGTACTTGCTGACTTTTTCGTGAATGTGTAATTGTTTTCCCGTTCGATCTATGCACATCGAGCGACTGCCTGCCAGAGCACGACTACCGCGACCCATCTTACCCCGCCCAACAACTCCGCCCACTTCACCTAGGATTTTGAACGGCTCCTTACTAACCAGTTGATGTTTACTCTCCTCAGTGACCTTGCCGTGTGGCCGTGTGTGTGTGTGTCTGTGGGGGAGGGGGGGAGGGGTAGGTCCACAGCTGCAGTAGCGAGCCACTTTCTCTGACCATTAAATGTGCACGGGAACAGGTGCTGGACTGGATTGCCGTTTCCATACTCCGCTTGCGATGCCGTACGGTAAGCTAGCCGCGTAGCCATAGCCGAATGTGCTGCTTTTCTGCGCCCTCTCATCCATGGTTGCTCTTTACCACTGAGTACGCGTTTCGCCGCGGGACCCTGATTTAGGCGCAAGTGCTGCACCTTGAAGACAACGCGGGCAGAGACGGAACTCGGGTACCCCACGCTCTGTTCCCGTGCACTTGGCTTTGGAGCCTAGAAAGTGGCACGTTACTGCATCTTCGGACCCCTCTCGTCTCGCACATGAGAGGACGTCTGCCGAAAAAAGAGTATACAGCCCGTTCTTCAAGTCAGTACCATGTCAGATCAAGCTTCGCTACTTAACTAGGATTTTTTTGACGGTTTCTTATTAGCCAAAAGAAATTAACTGTACACTCAACTACTTGGAACCTGGTCCTTGCCGTGTATGGGTTGAACAGGTCCACAGCTACAGTAGCGCCTCACTTCCTTCGGTCAAAAGCGCATGGGGCCATCCTTTCAGAAGCGATCTGCTATTAAAAACGGTTATTTTGCCAATTCCGTCCCCCACTCTCCGTCAGCTGTTTGTTAGGTGCAACTATTAGGCGAGCTACGGTAGCATTCTTAGTTTTAAGTTCATAGCTGCTTATATGAGCAACTTGGAACTTTTGGAATGCTACCGAACTACAACGAACTCCCAGCGCAAAGTCCCTGCTCCCCCGTAAAGGATTGTAACTATAGTTACCATCCAGGAGGATGACCCTCTGACCAAGGTTTAGCCTTCCAAACGTCGACTGTTTCACTTATAGTCGCGTATGGTAATCGCGATGTCCGTCAGTGCCGGCGTCTACGCACCGGCTTCTCTCAGTCTCGTTCGTTCACAGATCACTGCTGCCTCTCCGCCGAGCATCGATTCGGCCTCATTCGTGGGCACGCTCGCCACTCTCGAAACCCTTTCTTTCATTTTGAATTCTTTCCCCTTGACTTCTTTTCCATTCATATTCCTTACACTTGAAGGTTTCAGTATCAGAATATCGCCTGGAACTTGCCCTTTCCCATGGCGTTACGTTTCGCGGGCGAAAAACGCCCAATTTCTTGTTGGCAACCATTTCGAGTTTTATGTAACGCAACTCTGCAGTAAATTTGTGAGAGAAAGCCCCATCAAATCTCTCCCTTGCCATCCTCACTCTATCTCATCATAGACTCATCATACCTCTTTTCAAAATTTATTTTTCCAAAATTCGACAAGAGTCGGTTTTTCTATGAAAACTCTCTGAATTACCCTTCCCCCCCCAAGACATCTTCCATTAGCACGTGTAATGTCACAAGAACCCTTAATCGTCAGCTATCAGTAAAAATTCAAATAACTCCTCCAACAGCTTAACTTTCCCCGAGAAATAGCCATCTGGCGCTAATCGGCGCCTTGCGTACAAAGATCAGGGTTACGTTTGAGATGCGGCCGACGCCAGTTCTTCTCAAATAGCCTTTGCAGTGTCTATTTACTTCTTTAGCTACACAGTCCACTTCGTACTCAGGTAGCCCTTTTTCGCATACGAGCAGATTGATTGATCTTCAATCAATCGATAAATCGTTAGAGGTCTTTACGAACCGTAAGGTGGTGGAGGTAGGTGAAGGCAATGGTGAGGAGAACTAGCCGCTCAGCCACCCTAGCCTCCCTTCATCACCACTTCAGACGCGATCCCATCCTCTTGTCCGGAGAGGGACAGGACAATCGTAACTTGTCGTGTCGTCGCACGGGCGTGTTGTGTGGGGATGCGGAGATGCGCGGCGACTGCTCGATTTCACCAGTTTTTCGATAAAAGCAGCAAACTCGTATAAATTCAAGCGGAGACAAGACTCCATGATGGGCGATGTATACTTTTCCCATTCCTTCAACACTCGGATTTGTAAGACTGGGCGGGAAAACTCATCTGCCGCGCGCGGCGTCGTTCGGTCCGCCCACCAGCGCGATACATTACGATTCTCTTGTCACATACCCCCCTCTAGTCTAAACTTCATGTTATCTCCTTAACTTATCACAAGAAGTTTGTCTTATTACATAGAAAGGAGGAGGGGATGAGTGAGGACCCTAATCTTTCCAAATGTCTCACCCCTATGCACCCTTCTCAGCAAGCTGGCCCAAACTCGCTGTGGCCAATCAAGCCTTCCACATTGGTCTGAAGTGAACGAACATCAGAGGTGGCTGAGAAGACAAATCACTGGCCGGCTCCACAATCCTTTGCATCTGCCAGATGTGCATGCCAACACTTCCGCCATCCTGAAGGGTAGTCGAAAACGTGGTTTACCCTGAGGTTATCAGAAAATCCATCGGGTATCCATAATGGTCATTATGCGCAACCCAGAATGGTGAACATCTAATGAAGCAGATCTGCCAACAAATCCTTGCACCACCTCAGGCTACATTCTATTGCTTTCTTATTTGTTCTAGCGAGTTTTATTAAACGTCGTGAACACAGTTGTGAATATTCTACTGTATCCACTTTTTCATTTCAGAACCAACATGGCAGTGAAGTCAAAGAAGGCCGCAACGGGACGTGCAAGAGGTCGACCAACAAAAGCCATCAAAGATGACGAAGTCAACGGAGCAGAGAAGACTACTGTAGCAAAGGTAAAACCTACCTTTACTGTAGCTGAAAGTCATCGGATGGCTCTATAGCCATGACTATACCTCAATAAGGACCCGAATCCTGAATATGGGTTTTGTAATGCATGGCTACAGTAGTGTTACGGATCGCGAGCACTTGGTTAAAAACGCTTGACCTTGGTTAGATGGCCTTGATCATAATACAGACTACTCGGGCACGGGTTAGGTGACCCAGACTGAACTCGCAAAGATCCTTCGCCACTAAAACACTGGTTTCCTCTCGGACAAAATCGCAATTGTGGACATACTGATCCCAAGCTCCGTAATGAACTATTCCTTGTAATGACGAATACTTAGGCTCGCAATAGCCCGTAATTACGGTAAACTTATGGGCTAGTACAGTGACTTCAGCAACCTACCAGTTAGTTATCCGAGCCAAAAGCTGCGATCAGCTAGTTGACCACTAATTAGTTAGACATCCATGAATGCAGCCATCCCAGCGAATAGTAGAGTACTCGTTGCCAAGGCCAAAGGTCGTCTAGCCTGGTGGATCCTAGCGACACGAAAACCAAAGCGAAAGGTGAAGCCAAAACTTGACGAATCAAACCATAAACCACAGCTTCCAAGCTAAAAGAAGCCGAGGAATCCGAAGAAACCACCGATCTGAGGCAATCTTATGTATTCTCCGACAATTGCCTGGTACTCTGTGTAATTACATCCTGTGCGCTTGCATTCACCTATGAGAGGAAATCGCAACGGCATGCATCAACCTCAACTATCATTTCTCATAGTTCAAAAATCAATTAGGCAAGCAACATTCGATAGTGAAATCGTATCTGCCGTTGAGGGCGTTCCACACCGGCTCGTTGCGCTTAATGCGGATTACCAATGTTTCTCTTTGATAACGCAGTCTCCCTCTAGGCGGGTGAAGGAGAACGTCTAAATGAAGAGATAAGTACATTGGTGGACTGACTACGCCATGAGACGCAGCAGCGGACCACAGACTTTCCACCAACGAAGTGCGACTGTTAGACTATCTTGGAGACGGATTTCATTTCCCCCGTCCCAAGCCGCTTTGCCTACTTGAAACTTTCAGTCAAAGGATTCTCTAGACTGCACGCAGTTCAGTACCCTATTCGCTGGTCGGCTAAAAGTTGCCGAGAAGGACCGATGGCGGAAGCCAACGCGTTGAGTAAAGGCGTCCTTAATTCCGATAGTCCTTCCCCAGGGCATAGACCGAAAATCGGGAAAATGGTCACACATACCCGAGACCCGAAAAACAGACTTCAATAGTGAAGAGGACTGTTTTGATAGCGCCAATAGGGAATACCCGCCACGGACCCAATTTCTCTGCGAATTGACGACGTGGTTTAAGAGGATGGAAGGCACTCCCCCCCTTACGTTGCTATCATATTAATCGTTACGCGCTGACGTGCGTTCCCAGACTGAATACTGGTAATAATTTCAAGCGTTCTGGCGATGTTTGGTTAAAGGGGAAGAAAACCTGCCCAGCGTCCCTTTTCTAATGAGCGAACTTCGCATGCGCCTTCTAAAAAACCTTTTACCTTTAGAGGAAGGAATCCAAAAGTTGATTTCAGCCAGTCAAAACGATAGAAAAAGCGAGTTCCGGAAAGAAGCGTGGACGTCCAGCTGGCAGTGGTAAGAAGAAGTCCGGACGAAAGTCAAATCACGTGAGTATCTTGCAAAAATAAAAGTCAATAAATAAACTATTGCTGACAATTGTAGAAAAAACTTAAGGTAAGTATCGATAAAAGTATGGAATGACAAAATTACCATAATTTCAGGCCAAAGAAGAAGAAGGCCCAGAGCGAAAGTGAAGAAAGCGAAAAAGAGGTGAGAATATAGATATTACCGTCTCCAAAGTCAGTACGGTGCCGTGCGCAGACGCAGCCACCCTAATGCCTTCTCAATGACGAGCCCCTTCCTGGAACAAAAGGCCGTAGAAGAACTAGGTTGTCGTTGCCGATGCGTTCAGCTTGACGCGCTATCGAAGCCAAAAATTCGACATGTGCAGATAGCGGCAGCCAAAATCTCCAAAGGAAAAAGGTGCACTAGGGGGGGGGGGGGGGTGAAACGCTTGGAAAGAACTTGTGCGGCTGATCGAGGGTGCTGGCAGGACATCTCCCACTAGCTCAGTGCCTAAGCCGCCTCGAGCACTAAAACTCATATTTCAAGGCGGAAGTAACAATTCAAAGGCGATGAACTTTGCTTGGACAATTTACGGCGCTGTAAGCTCTCAGCAGGAGATTCAAAAGAATTAAAGGCTATCAGGCGCAAATTGCTTCAGCGTGCTGATAGCTGTAGACCCTCAGACGGCTGAGGCATTCGCGTAGGTCCGCTTCAGAGCGATTTGGGCAGGTTACCCCCGTGGCTGCCAGCCTTTGCGCGCTGGTAAGCTACGAATTGCCACCTTTCCGCATCTTAGTGCACCAGATTTCTTGCAACTTTATGCGACTTCCTCATCTCTTGAGCCCTGGCTCCTGATGCTTACATTGTGCGTCAGCAAGGAACATGCGTGGACCTGTACATATTTGTTCCGTGAAGGCGAGAAACATGCGTCTCAGCAGGAGTCTAAGCACACACTCCTTTTAGCGCGCCTTCTCCCCGCTAACTTACTAAAAGGAAACACATTCAATGCGGAGGCCTCAAAGCAGACACTTAGATGTTGTTGGGTAGTGCGTTTCAGCGACCTTGCTTGTGCAAAGCCTTGTTTCTAGGACGCTGGGGCGTTCCAGCGGGTTGGGAGGGGGGGGGGGGGAGCGTTGTGCGCTGCTGCTAGTCGTTGTCACGTAGAAGCCGATAGTCGACCACAACTGGTGTGCGACTGGCTGGTGCCGCGCCAAACAGCATCCCCCCTGAAAGCTCTAGCGTCCGCAGCGAACATGACTGTAAGGCATACAGCGCTTTGGCTCCTGATGAAATCCGTTGCATACCTGATCATCTCACATCCGTGTGACGTTTTTCCTCCCAAATACTGCCGTTTCTTCAAACAGTTTCCATTTTCAGGTAGAAGCCATGGACGGTAACGTAAGCGATGATGAGAAAGAAGACGAGTGAAATGCGGCCACCCAGCTTTGGTCGAATATCGTGGACCTCTCGTTTAGGAATTGATATGTTGAGACTAATCTCCTATTAACTCACTACCACTACGTAATAGTGCACCGTTAAAAAACGATCAGATTAATCTGTAATCTCTTCTGTTATTTATGCATTTATAACCTTGACAGGAGTGGCGGCATATGGCTTGTTGACGGCATTTACTTACGCGCATCAGCTTGCCGCCACTCCTGTCAAGGTTATGGAGAAAATCATAAATGATAGACTGTTAGCTTGGTTTACGAGACTCCGCATCATCCCTCCAGAACAGCACGGTTTTATTCCGGGCTTATCCACCACGACTAACCTTTCAGATACCTTGTATGACTTTTGTAAGGCACTGAACGAAGGCAAATCGATTGATGTTGTTTACATTGACCTTTCTAAAGCTTTCGATAAGGTTTGTCACCACAAACTGTTGGCGAAATTGGAGAATCTGGGAATCCGTGGGAAACTTCTACATTGGCTCACTTCATACCTTTATGATAGGCACATGACTGTTAGAATCAAGTCTAGTTGTTCCAAGAGGTACTTCTGTGGTAGCGGTGTTCCTCAGGGCGGAGTGTTGTCCCCGTTGTTGTTTTTAATTTACACTATGGAGTTGCCTAACCTTCTCAAAACTTCTTGTGACATTAAAATTCAAATGTATGCTGATGATATCAAAATCTATGGTGTACTTGATCCTTCTAACTATGAAAGTGTTCGTGGTGCATTGAATCTTTCTATTCATAGAATGGTTGATTGGGCTGCCCATTGGGACATTCCACTGAACCTGAGTAAGAGTTCGGTTATGCACATTGGTAATCTTGGTCAGGCTGATTACTACATCAACGGCATCAGGCTCATGAGGTGTCAGTCAGCTATGGATTTGGGTGTGCTTTTTGACTCAAAGCTGACCTTCTACTCTCATATAAACCAAATTGTAGAGAAGGCCTTCGTCACTCTTTTTGCGCTTTTCCGCAACGTGCAATCTTCGGATGCGGCAGTGCTCGTTCGTCTATACAAAGCCTACGTACTGCCTCGTCTTAATATTGCTCACAGGTCTGGAGCCCGTATATCAAGAAGTATATCAGGAAAATTGAGAAGGTTCAGCGTGTGTTCACTCGCCTCCTTTGGTACAGAACTACAAGTAACAACCTTCGCAGTAATTTGCCGAGTTATGAAGAGCGTCTGAAGGTGTTTTCGATGAAATCACTACAGTGTAGGCGGGTGATTGCTGATCTAGTGTTTAGCTTTCGGGTCCTGCGAGGGGAATCTAAAATACGAGCTAGTAAGTATTGGCTCTTCAGACCTGTTGGTGGTCGGCGTGGCGGATTTAATCTGGACTATCCACGCGTCCGTCCTAGGTATAGCGCTTTAACTCACAATGTTCTCTTTTATCGCTGTGCCAGATGGCTTAACACACTTCCCCCGGAAGCACTTGGAGCACTTACTAGTGTTTCGTTTAAAAGAAGAATAAACAAGGTAAATCTTTGTCATGTTCTCAATCTTTCCTCATGACACAATGTTGCTCTTTCCTTTTCAGTTATGTCCTCTTCTTCCATGTTCTACTGCCGTGTACACCACTGGTGATTGAGCTCCTCTCTCTTCGTCATACAACGCGCAGCCAAAACTTCAAAGTTTAGCTTTTGCTGGATGGCGTGGGGGGGGCTTTGCCTGGTATCTATTTACTTTGATGGCTGTTGTTCAGATATCATTGATGTTTTTTCTTTTGTTTCCCAACTCGCCATGGGAGTTGCTTCTTTGTTGTCACTTGGTTTGTCATGAGTAGGGTCATACAGTTATCCTTGTCTAATCGCTATCTTCGTCAAGACTATGCCTTCTATGAAACTTCGGCTCTGGTTTAGGCTCAAGGTCTAGTAGATCTGTCTTGTCGCTTCTGACCACTGTGTCGGTTCCACGTGGGAAGCTGGTATACCCGTGTTTCGAAGTGCCGGCACACCCCTATGACCCCACATGTGGCGCTAAGGGCACTGCGGCCAGCCAGTGCGGACAGTTGCTTCATCGCCGGTTGCTAGTACCTTGTGAGGAAAGCCTTCATGATATCTGCAATTCCGCACCTTTTCTCTGCGGTTTTGGGCCACCTGGTCGAACTGTGATTTCCCCCTGTCGTCTATTTGTTTCTGGGACTCCTCCTCCTGACAAACTGAGTGCTGCTCACTGTCTCACTTGAGTAGTAGTTGTTTTGTTCTTACGGTTCTTTTTTTTTTTTTTTTTTCTATTTTTTTTCTTAGTTGTTTGCTTTAAGTATTTGTTATCTACATTGCCATATTGTTTTATTCGGGAGCGTTCTATGTGCGCATAAGTAAATAAATAAATAAATAAATAAATTATCTGTAAGCAATGAACAATAACAATTTGATATGAAAACCAACAAAACAAGTTTTTGAACAAGGCACTTAAAATCCTATGGAGTGGGGGATTTCTCTCTAGTTAACTTGTTATCTTTGAAACGCAACCAGGGCGCAAAGTGACGGCAAGTAGCATGTTGACGCCATTTGATGCAACCCCCACTTACAACTTGAAACGGTCTCTAAATTTTAGCCCTACATCAGTAAAATACAGAGATCCACGCCGGTTTGTTTCATTGATAGCGGAAAAATAATACAATCTAACTTCCTTACTATTAACATTTTTATGAGGACGCACAGCCCATACGACATTCACCTTCTGGAGAGCGGCTGTCTGCTGTGCTTTTGGCCCGGAACAGCAGTTCGCATTCGTGTGGCCGGTTTGCGCAAGAGATGGCAGTGCATTTGAGTCATCTGCGTCTTTTTGCTTACGCATGTTTTTACAAACGTAAAAACACTCTGCGTCGGCACGCCCATCGAGGCGCTGTGATACACCTGATACTATGCGACCCAAAGAGCTTATAAAAAAAGAAACAATGGATGTAAAATTCTCGGGCACAATTAATAAGATTAAATATGCAACACTTATGTATTTTTTGATTGCGATATGCCTACAATCAGCAACTGCGCTAACCCATTTGCGTCAGTTTACATTAGAATTTAGCGCTTTCTTCGATCAGGGTTAGGCTTTATACTCAACATGCATTCACTAAGGACTAAAGACTAGACACTAGTTGAAGACAGAACTAGGAATGCGTTCGTACTTCACGATGCCAATCGCTTAATCGCCGCGACTGAATTGCGAAGCTATTGACACGCTCGTTGGGGGAGATGTGAGCCACAAAGGTGGGTCTATAAAAAGGACCGAATTTTCACGGATTCCCATCATAAAGCGCCCTCCAAGGCAGCACTACATCTAACGCAATGCTTCTCAGTGCGCTGCCTGTTCATCTTGCGACATCTTTCACAAAATAGTCCATCGCTTTCGATTAGAGTGATGCGGTCCTCGTCGGCTTCTTTGATTCTTACCATCGATACTCCAAATAGCTCACATAGTTGTGAGTCAAATGATGTGTCCTTGTCCTGCCACCGCATCAGAAGTGTCTTTGTCGGCGGTGTGAGCTCCAGGAGCGCTCCCTGAACTAGATTATTGCAGTGCTGGGGACATCAAGTCCAGAGGAAGGGAACAAAAGAACAGTATTGTTGGGAGATACAGCGAAAGAGACGTTAGTTGCGATGTTCTCTTGACGGTTATGTGGCGATTCACTCGTGGAGCACCGCTTGGTCGCCGCGCTGGTAGGCGTGGCTAGGCGACGCCGCAGCCGCCGCGTACGAGTTGTGTTGTCCCATCGCTTGTTCAAATTGTTAAATAGATCACAGACGGATGGTCCGCCAACAGAGTATTGGTACAGGAGGCGTGAGCGAGCGCAGATCCCTTACTCCAACTACTACCCATGGATAGGGTAATGCAACCCTGAAATCGGAGCCCCACTTGCCGCGCGCGATGTGAGCGGCACGACCCGACTAGCTCATGATGGAATCGTCCGTCTTCTCATCTACCATTAAGGATACAGAAATGAAGAAATCGTTCATAGTGATCTCTCCGAGCTCTTTAGAAGAGATCTTTACGTCTCGGCTCCTATTCAGGTTTACTACGCCTTTTCAAAGCTTACCCGGTGTTTCGAAAGGCTTACTACTGGCTACAAGTCATGTTCTGTCCTATGAATCTGGCTTGGATTCAGACAACCTACCCGGAGGACAGAAGGGTTGGCTAGCCTGGGCGTTGTTCCGCCGAGGGATGGCCTTAGGCTTGTGTGTGGTAGTATAGCCATCGCACTACCACGCTTTCTATAAGGCAATATTATACACTGTGAATTTCGAGCACACACCTTTTTGGAAAGATCGACTGATGGACCAGCCGTAGCGCTGAGTTCTGCTCGCAGTTTCATAATCTTTTCCATTGTACCATCTAGATCCGGATCCAGTTGCATATCGTTATCTTCTTTAAAGCACAGCACATCCCGTAGAATCTGGCAATTATTTATGTTAAAATATTTGCGCATCACAGCCTGGGTCTTTGAGGGAAAAGCATCACAACAAGGACTACGTGGGGGCAACGTTCAGACTTCGCGTCGACGCGCTGTAACGCGCTGCCGTTACAACAGCACTCCTCTGCAAAAGGCGATGACTCAGCCATAGGCGGGTATCGATCGGCGCCAGCCACTACTGCTGTGAGAGAGTATGGGAGAAGGAGGTACGCTTTGTTCAATCACACAGCCTGGCCCCCTACTGCTCTTCTGTTCACTCAGGCAGTAAGGGGCGGCACCGATCGATACCCTATATAGCTGCGTTCGCTCTACAGCATTGTAGTGCTCTTGTAATGGTAGCGCGTTCTCGCTTGATACAGAGCCGTCTAACGCGCCATCGCTGCCTGCAACTTAATTCTCGACCCTGAACGGGCAGTCGAAGAATCCGAGCAAAAAATTTCGATTCGCATCGATCGGGGAACTTTATCAGCGTTGCTACGTCATCAGTCGTTTTTTCGCGGACTCTCCGATCCCGATTTGAGGGGAGGGGGGAGGGGTGACAAAATCTCTTAGCCTCTAAGCGGATTATCTGATTTTCTGGGACTTTTATTCTACATGAAAAAGTAATGATTTGGGAAAGCTGTTAGAATTACCATTTTCTTTGCGCAGTTT